TAACCGAAACACTTCAACCGAAATCTCACCAGGCATCTGGTAAAAATGATCACTTCTTATCAAAACTGTCGAGGAATTCGTTACAGACAGACAGAATTTTCGTTTCCGTCTGATCCGTAGGTTACAATCTATTTGGTTACTTGCCAAGTCCGCAGGGGGTTGAGCTCCTAATCCTCGAAGTGTTAGATAGAAAAGCATAATCGTTCGTGTCTCAGGTTCATCGCGATGTGACTTGTAGGCAGAATTTTTGCTCGAATGGATTTCCTGATCACCCGGAAATCCCAAACAACCAAATCACTTGTCTTCGTTCAGTCAGATGTCTGTGTTTGATAAAGGAACCCTGTTAATCTTTGTCCAAAAAAATACTCGATTTGTCTTGAAAAACATTTGATTAGGCTGTCCCGGAGAGGTCCGAAATCTCTTGAGTAGTGTCTTGTCAGGTAGGACAACTGTCGATCCATCTTTCAGCTCAGTACTTCGACTGAGCAGATGTGTCACTAGGATAAGTTGGCTGATCTGCGCTGATTGACGGATCGAGATGACATCTGCAGCTGACATCTGTTTTTTCGACAGATGTCGTAATCGCACAAAAAAACCCATAGGATCAGAAGGAACTGAGGGAGTAGTGTCTTGTCAGGTAGGACAACTGTCGATCCATCTTTCAGCTCAGTACTTCGACTGAGCAGATGTGTCACTAGGATAAGTTGGCTGATCTGCGCTGATTGACGGATCGAGATGACATCTGCAGCTGACATCTGTTTTTTTCGACAATGTCGTAATCGCACAAAAAACCCATAGGATCAGAAGGAACTGAGGGCAATGAATAAGCACAGAAATATGTTTTAAGTTTCCGTGTATAAAGAAAGTTTAGTACAAAATGCCGCGACAGTATCCTCGCGTGTTCGGGCGCCCTGTTTGATTGTTTGTCTGCTCGCCGAGTTCGGCAGTTGTGTGCAGTGTTTTTCATTACAGTTCGCATCATTTTGACTGTTTTTAGTTGACAAGTGGCAGATGAGCTGGTTACCATGGCAACCTACTTGTCTTTCATCCAGAGACTTACAGCGTCCTACGCAGAATGGCCTAGAAGTCGACCGAGTTTCTGAATACGGAGACGATATACCAAGACTACCCATGGTTGGATAATCCGGTTCGAATCGTATACTTGGACACGTGACTTATGTACTTCTCGCCTTGCAAGTGCAAAGAACATAAGCAGCTCACATTAATCGGCCGATAATGAAATGGTTAACTATAGCAAATGGGAAGCTGTTCCTCCATAGCCTTGGTGACTGGCATCAGTCAGTGAAATTCCGTCCCGGTGCTTGTCAAACACACACCTGCCTTCAAAAACAGTGAATCGCTTGGACAATCCACATGAAAGTGGACTTTTTCACTGAGTACTTGGTCTACTCACTGAAACAGATCAATATTTTATCGAAATAAAAACTCAGTGACCTGACTTTGTGACCTACTTAGCTTTGGTCCTTCCAGAAAGCACACGAGAAGTTTCCAGCTAACACTGCAAGAGCCCCACGCTCAGATTCACTGAAAATTTGACCCAGTGACCGCCTCATCGTCGTGCGTCAGTGTACTTTTTTGGGATTTGTTGTTGGCCTGTTGGAGGTTTACACGCGAATGTCGATAGCACACAGTGGCGTCATCGGTCCTCATCCACCGGACGTCTGGAGCGCGACAGGCTTAACAGGTCAACTTTGAATACGTCTGGAGAAGGCAGCCATTAGAAGAAGAAGCCATTAGAACAAAGACGATGGTTAACGACTAACAAAAGAGAGGACTGGAATAAAGGGAAGGTCTGATCCGGCTGACACATTCTCCACTAGTCATGTCATGACTTTACCATCCGGTTTCCCCAGGGAAAAATGACGGTTTGTGCGGCTCATATTGTGACGCTGCCAAGATCCGGATTAATCCCCGCGGTGTGGCCCCGATGATGGTCATGATACAATTCAGAAGGCATATGCACTAATAACAAGATCCGGATCCCCGCGGTGTGGCCCCGATGATGGTCATGATACAATTCAGAAGGCATATGCACTAATAAAAGATTTTACTATGGTTGGTTGACGTGTGTTGCAATACGTATAAAAATAAATGTAATGCGAAATGGGAGCAAGTCAAAAAGGGAACTCATCGTATGGGAGAGACCCTTGGTGGAAGTCCGGACAGCGGGAACGTTTCCTCTGCAGTTTGGCTGCTACACGTATTCCTTAATTGCCCGTGGACTTGGAGTGTTTGGCTGACCCCTTGCCCCTGCGCGCGAGCGAGTCTGTGTGCCCTGACTGGGTTCGTTTTCCCTTTATGTAGGTCCCAGTGCGTGTACGTGGGCGCGTCAGCTGACTAGGTGGTGCAGACGATCGATGTCCGATGAGTCAGCTTAATGTGACGTGTTTGTGCTTATGAGAAAAAAGACGAGCCTCGCGATCCAGTGAGCGACTGTGAGCTGAACAGTCAAGTATGAGTGTGACGGGGTAGCTACAACCCATAACCGGAACACGAAGTGAAGGTTATTTTATTCTCTTTGTAGCGCATCCTCACGCACTCTACAATTACTTTGTCAACCACGAGTTCGAACAATACGAAGGCAGTGTTCTTGCTCCGCCTGGTAAACAGTGCATCCGTTCCAGCGCACTTGTGGCTAGAATGGTATCCCTCATAGTGCTACAGCCACATGGTTCAGAAAACTGCAAATCTCCACGACGTTTTCCCGCATTGCGATTGCTCCCGCTTATCATCGTCTTCATTATCCTCCATGAACCCAACCACGTCTTTGTCCATTGTAATGAAGCATCAAGGAAGGTCAGCAATGTCATTTGGCCCGTATTATTGCAACCGCTCCACCTGGCGTGCCTCACTGCGATCGACCAAGAAACGTGCACGTCAGTTACGTGAACGCTGGTTGACTTGTTCATCCGGCTCTATTGACCCACGTGACTGGCGTTCCTCATTGGGCTGCCTTGATCCGAGTTCTTCATGAATCGGTTGTGG